GCTGAGTGGTGGGGGTACTGACCTGATAAAGGGGACTGGGACAGGCACTAACCGTGTGTACCACATCACCTAAAATCCATTGTACCAGCAGGGGCACTTGTACCATAGTTTAGGAAGTCCCCATGTAGAGAATGGCAGTGTGAATGTAGGATTTTAGGTGGTGCTTTGTGGGCTGTCTTTGAGGAAGGGGGATTGGATGGAAGTCTGTGGAAAAATCTAGACATGAATGTATGGGGAGCCTGACAATTTTGTGGTGTTCAGAATGGGGGGGAAGGGAAAGATGGGTAGGGTATATAGAAGGAAGTGTCAATAGGCTGAGTTAGTTAGTGATGAGGGCTGAGAAGAATGAAAAGGATGACCTGAATTTGGAACCTGGGGCCCTGGAAGAATAGCAGTGCCTGGGCAGGCATAGAGATTCAGGGCCAGGAAGCCAGCTTGGTCCTTCTCTAGCACTGTTTGTGGGGATATCTTTTCTTTGCCTTTGTCTAGAATATCCATTGTTAAAGATAAGGATTTGCTCCTTCTCAGATTTCAGCAAAAGAGGCATGATAGGTGGATGATAAAGCCCATGTGCCTCCTCTTCCTACAGAAATGCCAGCCCACCCACCTGCCCCATAAGCAGAGTGGGACCAGGGTGGCTGTCAGTAGCTCTCACGGGAAGCCATAAGACCCTTTCCTCTTTCAGGTTCAAATGAGCCCTTGATATGAGTCACAGTTCCAATTGCCTTTCCTTTCTGATGAGGGGGTGCTCAATGCCTCCTCTGCCCTTCTTTCCTGGCAACAGAAGGATGGTGTGATATTTAATTTCTCAAGAAAACTAAAAAGGACACAAAGATCCCAGTCTCCATCTCATATGAGCCAAGACCTTCTTTGAGTGTAGAGGGTCAATGCAGACAAAGGCACTCTGATCACTTTTGATGGGTTGTCGCTCTAATTATAGAAAGTATTTAGCCATTGTTCTCTAATTGCTTGCTGCAGTTGGGTTTGAGCATTTTTTTTTTTTTTTGACAAAAGCCTGGTTTCTGATGAGTTGTTCTTTTCTCTTTTTTTTCTGCCTTGATCCATTGCCATTCCCCTGGCTATTCCATTGGAGAACTAAAAGAGGTGGTATGGTATTTCTGGAGAAGCCACTTACCTCACCTAATTGTTTTCATGGCTTCTCCCACTTCCTCCTAGTTGCCTAATAGAGAGGGAGGGAATTAACATTTACTGAGCATCTATTTAGTATGTGCCAGGCATTGTACTAGCCCTCACATAGATTGTCTTATTCAGTCCTTGCAGCAAGCCTGAGGGGAAGATACTATTATCCTCAATTTACAGAGGAGGAATCTAAGGCATAGAAAGTTTTCACAGTCAGTAAGTAGCCGAACTAGGATTCAAACCCAGTGAATTGGAGCCAGGGTCCAAACCCAGGTCTGTCTGACTCCATGTTGCCTCTCTCAAGAGAGCCTGAGAACTTTTATAGACTTTGACTAACAGAACATTGGTGTTGATGTGCCTACCACTATGGGAGATTTGGGAAATACTGCACCCTCATCCTGAAAGTGCATATTTCTAGGATATCTGCTGAAGGTCTGGGATTCCTGTGTTGGTTCATGACAGGTGGAGTTTTCAATACCATGGTAGCGATAACAAGGAGGAAAGCCACCTCACCACCAGGGGCTAGGGCAGTCCAGGTTCTAAAGGAAACAGATGGTGCATTTGAGAGTTTCAATGCAGTGTTGAATAAATGGACTGTGTGGAAACTGGGAGAGGTATGGGCAGTTAAGGGAACCAACAGCTGGCGGGAAAGCAGCTGGGCACTAACATAGCAGGAAGCCATCACCATCCCTACGTCTAAATGGGCACCATGTGGGAATGGTGTTCCCGAGCCCAGCAAGAGCTGGAGCTAGGTAGGGCAGGAGAGGAACCCAGCCACTGCTGCAATGTACACAGGATGGGCAGGTTACACAGGAAGGTGTGTGTGTGTGTGTGTGTGTGTGTGTGTGAGAGAGAGAGAGAGAGAGAGAGAGAGAGAGAACACAAGCATCTTGACTTCTCTCTCCTTTGGCCTTCCTGTCTCCTGATCATGGTCACACCTAACTGGAAGACAGAGGTCAGGGAAGCAAGCAGTACCAGACAGTGCAGGGCACAGAAGGGTGCAAAAAGCACTCAGGGAGGCTAGGATACTCAGCACAGGGGATTACTCATGTGTGCCCTCCATTTCAGCCCATAGGAGGTAAGACATTGCTTACAGACTCAAAGAATCATGGAATGTGAGAGTTGGAAGAGCCCTTGAGTTCTGCCCACAAACTCCCTTTACTTTGCAAAAGAGGATCCTGAGGCCCAGGGAGGGAAAATGACTGGGAGGTCCAAGGTCCAAGGCTGGCAGCCGATTAGTAGCACAGGCAGGACTGGAACCCAGCTCGCCTAACTCCAGTCCATGCTACCTTTTAATTTGAGAGCTGTGGTCAATTAATGGTGGGTAATAAAAGACTGCTGCTGAGGCAGCTTGCCTATTTCCTGTTAAGATTGCTCAAAGACCTCAAGGCATAGTTTACTTTGGTCCTACATACTTGCCTCAAATGATTCCCTCATACATCTATGATCAAAGTGGGCTGCCCAATTCAGAATGAGGGCTCTGGAGTCAGAATTGTGGGATAGCATCCCAGCTCTGCCCTTACAGAGTGACCTTGGACAAGTTATTTAACTCTCTGAGCCTTAGTTTGCTCAATTATAAAATGGGGATAATAAAAATATTTGTCATACTTCATGAGGATTATATGAGAAAATATATTTAAAGCACTTAAACAATTAGTACTTGATAGCATATATGTATTTATTTGCAAATAAATGTATCTATATCTATATATATCTCCAATAAATTGATTTAGAATTCTGGTTATGAATTCATATGGTTTTTATTCCATATTGAGCTATATCTGCTGTTATTTCACAAGGATTTTTTCCCCTCTCCCTTATGGCAGTAAAGCAAACTTAAGGGTATGTCAGTTATAGAGCAATAAAGCTGAAAATAGCCCTCTGGGGTAGCAGGACCCTGACCTTCAGGCCCTAAGTCTGGGGTTGCCCTTATCCTACTGGGACATTCTCTGTTCCAGGCAGGCGCTAACACAAGCTTCCTGGACTCTAGCTCATGCTTCCTTCTGTTGCTGCTTGTATGGATGCAACCCCTGCAGGGTGTTGCTCACCTTTGAGATTCTGCTGAAACCAAATTCGGCTTTCCTGCTTCCCCTACCAGAGGCCTCAGGCTTCTTCCTCCTGCATAGAACACAGTTTCTTTATTACTTCCTCTGCAGTGGCCCTTTCTCCTTGCCTTAAGGAAGAAACTTGCCCTTTGATTTCTCTTGCTTTTTCTCTGGTTGGCTGCTATGGGATGGTTTCTCCCAGATGGTCCAATTCCGGGACGAGATATACAGCACCCTGTGTGAAAACCTCTTTGACAGCATTCCAAATGCTCAATTTACCAACTCCAGGCCTGCTGCCCCCGAAACACAACTGGGACTCTGGCAGGTTCTGAAATAAGTTAGTTGCTTCCTTTTATGGCTTTGGTTGCTCAGTGCATTTTCTATTTAGCGTCTCTGGTCATATCCCGTCTCAATTTAAAATATATTTCTCAGACATGCCAAGCTCTTTCTTACCCCTGGGCCTTTGCACTTGCTGTTCCCTTTGCTTGGAACATACTTCCTCATCTTCCCCATGGCTGACTTCCTCATCCATCAGGTTACCTCAGCCTCAAGAGGGCTTGCCTGCTTACTCTGTCCAGTTACTCCTTACCACACCTCTTGCTTCTTTCCTTTACAGGGTTTATTACATCATGCAACTATGCTGTTATTTCTTTGCTTGTTATTGTCCATCTCCTCCTACCCTACCCCAGCCAAATGACACTCTGCAAGGGCCAGGACCTTGCCTGTTTTGTTCATCATTATATCCTCTGTGGTTTTAAACTGTCCATTTTAAAATTTAAATATCTTATTATTTAAAATATGTTTTTATTGATTTTTGTTTTTTTAGAGAGAGAAAAAGGGAGAGAGAGTTTGAACCATCAATGGGCTGCTTCCTGCACGCCCCCTCCTGGGGATTGAACCTGAAACCTGGGCGTGTGCCCTGATCGGGAATCAAACCAGGACCTTTTAGTCCATGGGATGAAGCTAAATCCAGTGAGCCACACCAGAGGGGCTGTTTTTGCATATAAATTTGAGATTAGCTTGTGAAGGTCCAGAAAATGTCCTGTTGTAAATTTCATTGAAATTCCATTGAATCATAGGTGAGTTCCAACCCTATCTCTGTTCCCCCAGGAAGTAGCCCAAGAGATGCTTGTAGAATAAGCACATCTTACGAACAAACACTGGATAGCTGTCAGTGAATCAATACGTGGGGGCCAAAGATAATTACGATTAATTAGCACATCCTCACTATTTAGCAACTGCCAGTAAATTTCTTCCTCACCTACTTGTTCTAATACCTTATTTAAAATACCCTACCCACTGAACACTTTCCTATGTGGAAAGCTTCTTGAAAAACAAATTTTCAGGAAGATCACGTGTTCGCGGCCCAAGCAAAGAAACAAGGCCATCTGAAAGGTAAAGCGCAACCCCTTAGCTTCCCCCCAGCTCGCGTTCCAGCGGGACCTCGGTGGTTCTTTGTTCGAGGTCCCTGCGGCCTTGGGAACCAAGGAGAACTACAAGTCCCGGCAGGCCGCGCGGCGCCCCGGCCTCACCCAACGCAATCAGGGGGTGGAGGAGAGCGAAGTTCCCTGAGAACTCCGGTTACAGGGCCGCAGCGGGAGGCGGGGCGCCGCGTCTCGGCTTCCCTCAGGGTGAGTAGGGCGGCCTCTCGGAGGGGGGCGCGGAGCCAGGGTCGCCAGGGTCTCACGGCGCGTGGAGCACGAGGCAGCCAGCGTGGACGCGCCCGGCGCCTGCCCCTGCACGGGGTACTGCAGCCACCGCGGAAGCCGGCAGGAAGCCCCGGCCGGTGACCTTGTCACCCCGGGAGCAGGCACGTGACTCGGGCGACTGGCAGTGCCCCGCCCCTCGGCGGCGACTCTCCAGACTGCTACGTCGGTGGCGCGCTCTTGCACGTAGGTAGAGGTGGAGCTGGAGCAGGGCAGCTGGTGGCCCGCCCAGACGTTCGCACCCCAGGTGGCCTGTGAACTCCGAGGCGCAGGCAGCTGGGGCTGGAGCTTGGCCTGACCGAGAGCAGAGGCCGCGCAGAAACCCGGGTCCTACCGCCAGGACCCGCGGCGTGCCCCAGAGCGCGCCTTATTTTCTGCGTCTTGCAGGCCGTGCGCTTTCTGGTCGCACAGGGAATGAGTGCCAATGTCCGCCCGGGTGTGGACAGCAGCATTTAGAAGACCTGGTACAGCTCTCTCCCGGTTTAAGTGGCCTTTGCTTTCTACTGACTAGGAAGGAAGTCATTCAATGAGACAAGTATCGATTGATTACCTCCATGATGTGTGACACATTGGGGGTGCTCAGGAAATATTTGCCCGGTTGAAAGTGAGTTAGAGTTTATCCGTGCCCTTCCACGTTTTCTTGAAGCATTTTCTAATTGCAGTGATTCTCAAACAGTGGCGTGCATGAGAGTCACCAGGAGGACTGTTACGTACAGCACAATGTTGGATCCCATCCCCAAAGCTTCTGATTCAGTAGGTCTGAGTGGGGAGCAAGAATTTGCATCCTGATGATGTCAAGATGTTGCTGGTTTGGGGACTTAATTTTGAGTTGTGTTGTCTAGGAAAAAATTAAATGAACTTAAAGCTCCAACCCTTTACACCTGGTTCTGGGCCTTTCTGTCCTTGTTTGCTGGTTTAATTTTGTAGTTATAGTAAACACGTGCATATTACTTTGTACACTGTTAACTACCCCCCCCCCCCCACATTACCTTATAGACAGATTTTCACGCAGTCTATACTTCCTAGATTACATCATATTGTGTCTTATTGGGTCATCACTGGCTTGATTTTCTCAACAGCCATCATGGATGCAAGGTTTGACCTCTGCTGGGAGAGTTTGCATTTCATTTTTTTTTTCAATTTTTATTAATTTATTTTTGTTACAGATGTTTCTCCTTTTTCTTTTTTTTATATTCACATTTTCTTGTCAAACAGAGGACTTGTAAGATAAGAATAGTGCTTGATTCAGGCATCCATGCCTTCCCTCTCCCCTCCCTACAACTCACTGAGGGACTCCAGTGACCCAGCTCAGGGCACTTGTTTGCCTTTACTCTGTGCTCTCTTGGTTGGAAAAACACTGTATTCAAGTTCAGGCTCCACCATTTACTAGCTTCCCTGCCGAGTTTCTTACCTTTTCTAAAACTCAGTTTCCTTATCTGTAGAATAGTGTGCACCTCAGACTATATGGTACAGTTATGGGAGATGTTTAAGTACTTGACTCTCTACCTCTCCTATTGAAAGTGCACTCACTTAACCTACTACTGGTTCTTGGCACTTGGTTTTCCACTGTTCTCTCTGAGCCCCTCTTTCCCATGAGAATGGAGAATTTCTGTTCCTTGCTTGGGTGAGATTTATTTTCCCTGTCTACTCTGAGACCGTGGCATCAGTCAGGGATTCCTTTATTTAATCAATATTGATTCAGTCACCTGCTGGGCATCCAGCACCAGGAAGGGGAGTGTGGTTACACTGGGACTGCATCACTATCTGCAGGGCTGGCAGGTTATAAACTCCTCAGGCCAACTAGATGGCCCCTGGGCATTGACTCAGCATCTTTCCAGACTCAGACATGAAAACCTGATTACTGGAAAGGTATTACTGGAAAGGTCTTTTCCAGTCTTGGGAGCAGACCAGAAAAAATAACGCTCATTTGTCTAATAAGCTGCCTAGGAAGTGGGAGGAGGCTGTGGTCATTTTATAGGATTAATGGAATTAGAACCCTAAGTGCCTTTCCTCTGTGGCTGTTCTCACCTGTGCATCAAGCAGGGCGAGGTGATTCCAGGCCTATTGCGACCAAATGTAGCATGGTCAAGGGGCTGCGGATGGATGATAACTGGAAAAGGTCTAGCCACTTATTGGCCAGTAAGTGCTTGGTTCCCCATTTAATTCTGTTCAGGGAATGGATATTTAAATTGACCATCAACTCCTCATTTGTAGACCTTTCCTGTTGCCTCATTTCATCACCCACTGGGATATTCCCCAGGGTCCATTGAGATGGATTCCATTCTTATCATAGATTTGACAGTAACCCAGCTCTCATAAATGTTTCATAGTCTGGAATCAGTTGTTCCTAGTGAGTTGCTTTCATCACTCTTGTGACATGTTGATTTCCAGGGCTCCAAGCAGCATTTTCCACGTGTCTGGCGTTGTTTGAGTGCGGTAGAGGGTCAGAAATCATAGTCCCTGCCCACAGTGACTGATGCAGTTAACTTGTGAATGGAGGTCTGGGAATGCCTGTCAAGGAGGTCACGTGCCATAAAGAGTAGGGCCCAAGCTCTTACTCCACCATTTACTAGCTGAGCCACCTGGGCCAAATCACTCACCCTCTGTGGTTTCCTCATTTATATCTGGGGCTGATTATAATATTTGTCTCACCTCACTGGGTTGTGTGGAATATCTAATGAGATAATGAGTCAGAGGCTTTGTAAAGGTTAGTTATTGCTAATATTATTATCTAATGATTAGATTTAGGATCTTGGTGACCTCAGCCCCTTCCCCCCTGCAAGTGTATGCTATTATGAGAGGTAACTCAGGTGAAAGTCAAAAAGGCAAGTAAACAGAAGTGGGCAGGTGATTCATTATCAAAGGGTTTAATAATGAAAGGTGTTTTTTATGGACACATTTCATGGCTGACAGGGTCTTTTAAAATGCCCTGAGGGAAGCACCTCATTTGCATGTTAAAGACTCACTGATACCTTATGGAAAACTCCAGCTCCAGTCTATTTAGACACAGTGTGGCTCCTATATCATCTATTTTATGTTTTTCAATTTCCACCTCTTTTATTACTGAGGACATTTGCATGAAAACCAGTCTTGGGAGTTGTGTCTACTTCGCTGCCGCTTCCCCACCCAGAGGTTGTCTCAAGGCTAGGGTGGCCTCGTCACTGTGGACGAAAAGGGGCCACGTGACATCACCTACAGGGACAGACGTGGAGGATGGTGCACTAGGAGATGGGGTTTAGAGGAGGCAAAGGCTGGGAGCTGGTGCTGGGGGTGATTCGAGGAGTCTGGCTATCCAGCCGTCAGCCCTGGGTGTGTGGTTCCTACCTGAGAACCTTTCTTGTTACTCTGCACAGGCTCATGGGGTATAGGTTTTTCATTCATTGATTCATTTATTCAGTAAATACTTTTGGAGCGCGCTAAGGTTGGCAAACTCTAGCTTGAGCACTGAATCTGGTCACACCCATTACTTTACATATCATCTAAGTTGCTTTTTGCCTTGACCTGCAGTGCTCAGTTGAACAGCTGTGACATTTTAACCTGCAAGGCCAAACATATTTGTTGTATGGCCCTTCACAGAAATAGTTTGTTGATGCCCGTTCTAGGCAGGGAGAATAGCAAGTGCAAAGGCTCTGAGGCCAGAACATGCCTGGCGTGTTTGAGGAATAGCAGGAGGTCAGTGCCATTGGAGTGAAATGAGCAAGGGGAAAGTGGAAAGGGCTGAGACCCTGGAGGGAATTGGGCAGTCAGGTCAGGTAGGGCCTTGTAAGTCACACCAAGGTCTTGGCTTTTCTGAGTGCAGTGAGACCCACTGGGGAGTTGAGAGCAGAGGAATGCACAGTTGGACTTAAGTTTCCATGCTTAGAATAGACTGGGGAAAAATTTACTCACTTATTCATTCAGTCATTTATTTTTATCAGCAGATTTATTTATTAGCAAATTGTATCCTTTGTATCTAGTGGAAGAGGCAGATATAGGACCAGGTTATTAGAGATAAAAAGCAGTGCATGGTAAGACCAGAGAGGAAGGAACAATAGATTCTGAGTGATTGGCTCCCAAAGGCTTCATAGAGAGATAACGGGGGATTGAGTATAGAGGGATATTTGGGAGATGTAGCTGGAAAGGTGGATTGGCCTGAGAAGGTGGTGGGGGCTTTGAATGCCTTGCTAGAGAATTTGGACTCTTTGGTAGGTGGAGGGAGGAGTGATATGAATGTGGGTTAGGACAGTGATAACACCAGTGGCAGAGTGAAGGTGAAGGTTAGATGGGATGTGGGAAGGTGTTTAGAATGGGGAATAGTTGAGTGGTTCAGGCAAGCTGTGATGACCTTTCTTTCCTCCCTTATTAATTGTACAAGGTTGTGCCAAATCCTGGCCCCTGAGGTGCTGCGAGTTCCTCTACACAGGTTCTTCAGCTTTTCAGAGAAGAAATGAATTTTAAAAAGTAACGGTAAGGAAGTTTCATTTACTAGCATGTTAGGCATTATGTTAAAGCAGCATCTCAGATAATTCTCACAATGACCCTTTGAGGTGGGTACTATCAAAGGGCTCCCTTTTGTAGATGATTACATGGAGGCTTCAGGATCTTGTGACCTGCTCAAGGTCACACAACTGGTGAGGACTCTTTCCGGCTCATACTGCATTCTTAACATGGACTTCTCTGCAGGCCCCACAGGGAAGGTTTCTGGGTCACCCCTCAAGGACCTTCTTCTTCTGATGATCTGGAAGGAGGAAGGTGTGAAAGGAGCTGAGGGCACTCAGCCCGCTTTAAGGCCAGCTTCCAGGTCTGATTGGGAATCTGTGTCTTGGAAGAAACAAGGTAGAGGGTGAACTGAGCAAACAATTCCATTTGATAGAAAATACTATAGGCTGCGGGTGTAGAGAGCAAGGTGAAAAGGGAGGATTAGGTGGGGGCCTGCCGGGATGTTAGAAGTGGGGCGCGCAGAAGTCCTCCAGGAGCTGACAGGCAGGGGAGTAATAAGATCCTTTACCAGAGCTTGGCATTGGGTGAGGAAATAGTAATAATAATAATAATAGGGTGAGGAAATAATAATAATAACAACAACAATAATAACAGTGGTGGTAATAGTGGTTGTTACTGTGTTCTTACTGTGTAGGTGGCACCTTGCCAAACATTTTGCATGATTTGCTCATTTCTCACCACCCTATCAAATAGGCACAGCTGTTATCATCCTCATTTTATAGACAGAGTCATGGGATTCAGAGAGAGCAGTTTGCTCCTGCTTACCCACTTTGTAAGTGGCTGTCTGGACTCAAACCCAGGCCCGTAGGACTCTGGAATGCATATTCTCAGCTACCAAGTTCCCTGGTCCGAAAGGAATCCTTGGCTTATTAAAATGTTGGCAAAATGATGTCGAGATATGGAGGTTTTCATAAATAAAGAGAATGTAAAGAAAATAGAGGGCACACTATTATAAAAAGTGCGGAGTCCAGAAAGAGTCAAGAAAGGAGAGAAAAAGAAACAGTACAGGTAGGAAAAATAGAAAGCATAGACTAAGACAGTAAAACTAAATATTCATAAGTTATTATATTAAAAGCAAGTAGAAAAAGACCAACTATATGCTGTTTAGAGAAACAGTATAAAATGTAAGTTGAAAGTAAAAGAATGGAAGAAGATGTACTTGCGAATACTTTTTAAAAAATCTATGGCTACATTATGAAGCATGAGTCAAAATGGAAAATGAAGACAAGGGTGTTTGTAACAATAATGTCCATACAAAGGAGAAACAGGCACAGAGCAAGGAGGGGATGACCACAGGCTGAGTCCATGGCACAAACAAAAGGGGATGACCTGAATTTTCCTGCGTGTCTCTGCGAGGTTTGCAGCTGCAGGTGGCTTGGTGGTACACTTCTTTGGGAGCTGCAGCTGTGGTCAAGTACTTCAGTCTGATATAGAATTCCCAGGAACTGAAGCTGAAGCAGCCTACCGAGTGCAGTGGCCCAGAAAGGGACTGTGTAGCCACGTGGTGGACTGAGCAGGTGTAAATAGGGTGGGAGAAGGTATCAGGGAGTCAGGAATCCCCTGGGACTCCTTGATTGTGAGTGTGGGTTTGGTTAAACAGATCAGGTCAGCAGGTGGATATTGAAACCTTAACCATAAAGCAACCCACAGTGTTTACACTCAAGGAACTCACAGTCTTGACAAGGGCAGTCTATTCTAATTGGAATCAGCCAAACATGGAGGGCTTACCTGGCTGCTTCTGACCACCTGACCACCTCTGACCTGGGCATCGAGTGCTAATGACACCTGTGTGTGCATGGTGGTACAATACTAGTTATAAGGAAGGATTGTTGACATGCTCTGCTGCTTTTCCTATCTAAAATAGCATCCCTCATCACATACTCGTCGTATTTTCTATTATCCTCTTTTTCTTCTTAGCACTTAATCCCAGCTAATTTTTTATGTCTGTTTACCTATGATTTGACATCCCATCTAGGGTGTAAGTGCCATGTGGGTGAGGACTTTGTCTTGTTCACTTTGTCCCCAGCACCCAGAACAGTGCTTGGCACTGCTGAACAATGACATTGAGAGTTGACTTGTGCTGGGTACTATGCTGAACATTTTATATACATGATCTCATTTTATCTCAACAGCTTTTGAGTTGGGTAAGATTCCGTTTTACAAATGAGGTACCTGAGGTGCAATGAGGTTAAGAAAATGACCCAAGGTCATACAATGTATTAAGTGACAGAATCTGGATTTGAATCCTGGTCTATGAAACTCAACTGTTTTTCTTTCTCTACTTTCCTTCTGCAGGGTCTGGGAACATGGCCAGAAGGGCTCTCAAGCTCGCTTCCTGGACCAGCATGGCTCTTGCTGCCTCTGGCGTCTACCTCTACAGTAACAAGTACTTGGACCCTAATGACTTTGGCGCTGTCAGGGTGGGCAGAGCAGTTGCTACGGTAAGTTTTTTTCATTTGGGAGTGGAGAAGAGCTACAGTATTATATGCAGATGTTCATACATGTAGCAGATTGACATGCCAGTCACACATATGTGGAGATACACATGTACCTTTACATGTGCAAAACTCTCTCTACGCAGTTGCACAGGCATGGATCTATATCCTCACCCACCGATATTCCTGTATGCACAACCTCTGCCGTCCTGAAGTTAACGAGAGCGGAACTGCACAGGGTCTCTGTTTTAAAGGCTTTACATTTTAAGTTCCATATCTTATTTTAGTGATAGACCCAGAGGGTGGCGCTCCTCAGCGAATGCCTGGAAAGAAGGCTTCACAGCTTTGATTAAATTCTATCAGAAAACTTCCTCCCTCCCTCCCTTCCTTCTTTCCTTCCTGAGCGATTTGCTTATTGAAGAAACCAGATCATTTATCCTGTAGAAGTTTCCACATTCAGTATTTGGCTCTCTCTCTAGTAAGCTAGTGTGAATGGTTTCTGATGCAGGGCTCATACTCAGAGAATCTAGGCCTTGGGGAACTTTGGGATCCCCTCCAATTCCCGAACTGACAGAGAATCTGAGTTGACTATGTATCCATGGATGGTTTACTCCAGTGGCTCAGGAGCATCATTCTGGTGTGATCATGTCCTCTGTGGAAAATAGTTTTCCCAGACATGCCTGTATAATTGTCCCGTTTGCTTGTGAGTAGATTGCCACATGCTTTATGCTTTCTTTCCTCCTCCATGTGCTGCAGGATGAGCTCATCATTTCTTCCTCCGGTGTAGATAGATTCTGATGCATAGTCTGTTTGGGTTGTTGTCCAACCATTTTCTTAATACATGGTGTTGTCAAGTCTTCTCCCTGGCCTGGGTCAGAGGGGAGGCTACTGTGGTGCCTGCCCTCTGGGGAAAGCTGAGTCAGAGAATTAAGACAGACAATAAATAAGCAGGCCATGGACTATGAAACAATTTCCATGTTTACTGAGTGTCTTTTCTGGGTCTAGCATTATCTTATGTGCTTCGAGGAGTAGAAACAAACTGTCCCACATAGACACAGCTTTGAAGGAGCTTCTGGCTGAGAAGTGCTCTTGTCAGTGGGTTTAAAAACAATCTAAAGCCATGTGCTGGCTCAAGAGGAGTGACCCAGACGACCGCTGCTGTGGAACTTCAGACACAGGAGTGAGCCCCTGGGCTGGGAGTCAGGATGAGTGTTTGAGGGGAAGCAGGGTTTGATGAAACCTTAGGGATTTGAATAGTTGGACAGAAGGGAGGAAGGTTTTTACTAATGCTTTATAAATCAGCCACTAGGCTGTGCATTCTTTAAAGGATAGGGCTCTGGTCTTGACCATCCTTCTGCACTGGTGTATGACCCGGTCTTGCTCATGGTTGGCATTCAACAAGTATATATCAAATGGACTAAAGCTTTGGGATGCAGACCAAGGAGAAAACTCCTTAACTGTCAGCTTTGTAAGCCTCTTAATTTCTAGGATCCTCAGTTGCTCAATTCTAAAAGGGCAGGTTTGGCTAGGTAATCCCCACAGTTCCTCCATGCCTGAGGTATCTGGGAGCCTATAATCTTCTGATCACGAGGGATAAGGAGACTTCTGGAGTTTTGGCCAGGGGACTGAGAATCAAAACTTATGCTATTGGAGCAAACAAATATAAAATGATGTTCATTGGTGACACAGAGAGGTGGGATAAGCTTATCCAACAGCACTCATTCAACTAGTATTTACGGAGCATTTACCTATATGCCTGGCACGGTATGATGATGAACAGGAGGACAAGCCCCTGGGCCAATAGCTGAAATTCTATCAAAGGAGAGACGAGACAGTCTGTATACAAGGAAACAAATGAGCAAGGTAATTTTGAACAGTGGTTTGTTATGATAGACAATTGGGAGTTCCTGGCGGGTAGGGCAGGTTTAGATTGGAACTCTGCAGAGTGGCATTCGTGAAGAGCTCTGACTGACAGCAAGAAGCCAGCCAGGCTGAGATCTAGGGGCAGAGCATCTGAGGGGTGGGACTGTCTATTCTCCTATGTCAGGGGCCTGCAGCTTCAGTTCTTTGGCGGAGGAGTAATATTTGATGTCTGGGCACTAAGCTTTTGCCTTCCTTGGTTCACAGACAGCTGTCATCACTTATGACTATCTCACCACCTTGAGGAGTGTCCCCTATGGCTCAGAGGACTACTTACAGCTTCTGTCCGAGGTAAGGGACCCATCTGAGCCTTCCGATTGAGCGCTTTGAGTGAGTCCTGAAGTGACTGCAAAGCCAGCAAACTTCCTGTGTGCAGCTGGAGGTGGGAGGGGACAGTGGGCATTGAGGGTGGGGGCTGGGGAAGAAGGAGGGAAGGACCATCTCCTCATTGGAGATGCTTTTGTGCCCATGTGCTGGGCTTCTCGGCTGACATCAAGCTGGGTCCTATGGTACCAAGGCTATGGATCTACAAGGCACTGTCAGGAAGGCTGATGTGTGTTTCTGGGAGTGCAAGTGTCTGGGATGGCTCAGGAGGGATGAAGGCTCTGTCCCTGAGATAACTCAGCTGGCTTCCAACTGCTTTGTCAGGCAAAACCCAATTGAAAGAGGTTAATTGCTTTTCTGTCCTCTGAAGGCGACCCTGAGGCCTCTTCTAGGCCTCCGAGCGGAGCTGTCGACCCTGCACACTCTGTCCTCACTTGGAATAGGGAGGTTGATTTTGATGCTGTGACTAGATATCCCAGAGAGTTGGGGCATCAAGCAAGAGGGCATTTTTGTTGAACGTAAGCTGAGTTTAGGGTCAAATGTGGATACTTTTGGTTCCTCCAGAGAGAGGTTTGTGATAAATCTATGTGTCTTTGCTCAGCCTGGAATGCCCTTCGCCCCTTAGAAAATTCCAAGTCATCCTTCCAGATTCAGCTTAAATACCTCCCCTTCTCAACCATCTTTGGTGGATGGAATAATTAATTTTTAAAATATTATTTAAACTTTTCATTATGGACATTTCAGCCATCCATAGCAGTAGAGAGAATAGTATAATGAACCCCTGCAGAACTGTCATCCACTTTCAGAAATTATCAATACTTTTCCAATCTTGACTCATTACTCCCCCCTTTATGTATTCATTCCTTTGTTTATTTTTAAATTCATTTATTTATTATTCTTATTTGCTGAAATATTTAAAATCAAGTCTCAGGCTTCATATTATTTCATGTGTAAGTATTTCAGGATGTATTTCTAATAGATAAGGACCTTTAAAAAAACTTGACTACAATACCATGACCATACCTAACAAAATTAACAATAATTTCTTAATAACTTCTGATAGCTAGTCCACATTTAAATCTTCCTTCTGTCCCCAAAATGTATTTTTAGAGTTGGTTTGTTCAAACATGAATTCAAACAAGGTACATATAATACATTTGGTTGATATTTCCCCTCCCTATTTCCTTCCTTTTTTCCTTCCTCTTCCCTTCTCCTTACTCCCTTCCTCCTTCCCTTCCTTCTTTCCTTTCCGAGCGATTTGCTTATTGAAGAAACCAGATCATTTATCCTGTAGAAGTTTCCACATTCAGTGTTTGGCTGATTGCATCTTCAAAATGTCATTTAATGGGAAATAGTTTCACTTGGTACACAATTCAAAATATATAATATTTGAACATACAAAATGATTCTCCTATCCCTGTTCCTCAGGTACCCAATTTTCCTGCCTGGAGGTGGTCATTATTTCCTGTGTATTATTTTAGAGATAGATTCCTATTTGAATTTAATCACTCTATTTTTATACCTGCCACAAATGATAGTTGGTCACATGTCTTTCTCTCTCCTTAGACTATCGATTCTGTTCGATCAGGGATTGGGTCTTTCTTTTTTATATCTTCTCCCTCTAGACATGATGCTTAGGACTGAGTTGATTGAATGTCTGTTTCAGTGCTAGGCTGCACCCTGCTAGTAGTTCCTTGCCTTGGGAGAGGCCCCAGAAAGAGAGTACGATTTGGAATCAGAAGACCTGAGTTTGCACCTCAGCTTTGGGGAGGCCGTTTAACTTTTTGGAGCTGCCATTTTCCTTGTCTGCAGGCTAGAGATGGTTATACCACTTACTAAGGATTATTTTGTGAAATATAAATGTAAGGCAGGTATAAAACATAAATCAAATGTCTGCTAGAAGGAATGCTGCATAAGCACAGGGACTTGGTCTTTGTTGTGTTTCTCCATGTCTGAAGCACCTACAATAGTACCCAGGACACAGTATGTAGGTCCTGAATAAAGGTTTGCTGAATGAATGAAGTCTTAAAGAAACTTAATATCCCCCTGCTTTTCTCTGTCCTCCTTTGTCCATTTAACTAGGCTGTGGGCCTTGGTACTCACCAGGGCGACACTCTGCCAAGAGGTCCCCGGGCAGAGCAGGCAGGGGCATGGGTGCCACGGGGACAAGCGCCCGTCACGTGTAAGTCATCCGAAAGGCAGTGGGGCCGCAGCTCCTGGAGAAGTTGACAGCTCTGGGGGATGAGTAAGGAAAGTGCAGCCTGGCATTTGACAAGAGGGCAGCATGTGGTAGTTGGCACCAGTTAACGGGTGTAGGCTAGTCCCGGAGTTGTGCCGTGGAAGGTGGAACTAACTAGTTGGCACTAAGGAGAACAAGTAAATACCGCAGGAGTATGTTCTTCCATTGGAACACTTATCTGTTCTCATCCGAGTGACTGATAAAGGAGTGAGTGAAGGGTAAAACCTAATTATCTCACCTGTCAAGCCAGCGTCCCCAGGTCCCAGAGTGTGCCAGAGCCAGAGTATGCCAGAGTGTGACAGGCAGCAACTTCGAGAGGCACTTTCAAGGTTAGTGCTCAGCTGGCTTGGACTTCAGTGACTCAGCCCCACATCAGGAGAGGGTGGGAGCTAATGTGAAGGAGAGTTTCCTAGGAGCTCAGTGGCACTTTGCTAGGCAGCTGAGGGTGTGGGGCGGGCCAAGGTGCTTTGAAGAATGAGATCCCCTGGTGCTCAGGATGCTTATAAACAGAAAACACTTGTGAACTGGCCGGTCCACAGGGCAGAAAGAAGTCATGGCTGATGCAGACAGACATTTGGACAGTGGGCTGGAGGATGTAGGGCAGTTTTTTCTGACCAAGAGGTTGGGGTGTAGTGGACATATAGTAATTCTACAGCTCAGGAGCCATTCGCATTGAGAAGCAGCATCCAGACTTTCCTTTGGGGAACCAGTCATATCTCAGGAACTTACCATGAGGTTTGAGTGGGGCTCACTCCACCCTCAGCTCCAAGGGTGGGCATGTGACTTAGGCCCATTTTTTTGGCCCTAGAGATTGATTCAGGGAAGGCACCTGTGGCAGGCTGGTCAGTGAGCATCAGCTCCAGGACTTCTGGGGGTGTCTCCCATAGGACATTGTCTTTTCTGCTGGATTAGCTGAGAGTATAGGATGTTGGCCTAGGGCTTCTGGCAGCCTTCTTGCCACCATGAGGGGAAAGCCCATCTGTGAATGGAACCAGTATTGTGGAGAGAAGTGTCATTTGAGTTTTTAGATCTAGCCGAACCTAAAGCCAGACTACCACTAGACTTTTCAGTTATGTGTGCCAGGAAATTCTCTTTTTGCTTAAGGTGGTTTGAGTTCAGTTTTCTGTTACTTCTGTTGCAACCAAATGAGTCCTGATACACTGGGGAATCTTGGAGAAGCAAGCTGGGTCTTGAAGCACAATCAGGTTTTTTTTTTATAATCCTCACCCGAGGACATTTTTTCATTTATCTTCAGATAGAGTGGGAGGGAGAGAGGGAGGAAGAGAGAGAGACACACACACACATTGACTGGTTGCCACCCACACAACCCCAACCAGGGCTGGGGACAAACTGCAACTGAGGTACGTGCCCTTAGGGGGACTGAACCCAGGTCTCTCTTGTCTGCGGGCCAATGCTCTAACTGCTGAGCAAAACCGTCCAGGGCATAATCTGAGTTTTGATAGATCATAGAAGGGCTTATCTCTAAGGAAGTAATGAACTTCAGAAATTCCACGGCCTAAACAGGATGAGGAGAGGTTGGGATGGTGCTGGTGGAATTTGAGCTATTTTGGCTCCTGGTCCACCATGAAGCACCTCTGCTTCCTTATCTGTAAAGTGGTGGCAATGGCCTTTGTCCCAGCTGAGTTTGTAAGAACGAGATGGGAGGCTTTACTTCATTAAACACTGTGGATTATTTAATCCAACCAGAGAGGCGACTCAGATGCACAGAGTTTGCCTTGCTGGCTCCTTATTTTAATGAAGAAGTTAATGATCTCTATATTCCTTATTTCTACACTTATTAATTGGAATTCTTCTATAAAGAAGAGGTGTCCCTTCTCCTTCAGTTCTTGATTGTGTTTTTATCACTATGAACTCAGGGATATTTATTTTGTTCTATGAGTTACAATCCAAAACAATTATTATTAACTTTATTGCTCAAATTGTTCAAACTGGCTACTGGGAGCTCCTTCGGGTTGTCTCCTGTGTCTTTTTGATATGCCCCATCATTTTTTGGATGCTATCTTAACTTTTTGGTACCACAGATGCCCCAGACTCTCCTTATATTTTCCTTGCCGCAGCCCTGTAATTAATCACTTCTCCTTTTATTGGAGAGTGATATTTAGAAACCAAGACGTGCATGCATATTGCTTTTGGGGTATTATTGTGTCTAGGCCCTCCTGAGGCAAAGCCAGGAATTATATGTATGTATACTTATTCATGCATACACACATCTATCTATCTATCTATCTATCTATCCATCCATCCATCCATCTGTCCATTCACTTATCCACCCACCCATCCATTAAAAAGCATGAGTTTATACTGATATCTTCAATTTCACTCTAACATTACAGAGTTCATTTAGCCTTCTTCCTTTCCTTTCGTGTAACTTATTTCTCTGACAGTGAGAAACCTTTCTCTAATGATCTGTAATATCTTAATTTATTTGTTCAACCCTAGTATATCCCAGTGTAGTTAAGACCCCCAAGACATACAGAAGTAGGGACAGTGGCTATGATGGGTGAGATTGAATTAGTTAAGGGGTGCTTGAGCTGGGTTTGGAAAGATGGGTAAGACAGAAGCCTGTAGCACTGGGGACAAAATGATCTTGGTTGATGGATAAATTTTTGGAGATGGTCTATAAGAAACAGATTAGTGCAATGTCTGGAGACTAGGGAGAGGGTGAGCAAAGGAACACACTGGCAAATACAATTAGAGCTAGGTCACA